AACAACTTACCGATCTGGTTATGACGCGGGAGAGGGCGGGATATACGCACGTAAGCGTTTTATCAATAAATTCCATCTAGCTGCGAGCCGCAGATTATCGATGGGGTCCAGCCAACCCGTCGATGTCACGGACATCGATAGCCACGCGAGAGGTAAAGCCAGATGGGATTCCCAGCCAGTAGACAGGACCATTAAAATAATTGTAGTTCCCGTGTCGTTAACTAACGGCTATGAATGATGACCGGGGCCTGATTTATTACCACGTGGGACGACAATGTCGTTTACCAACCGAGGAACACGTCGAAAAGTGGCTACCGACATCGCGTGCTATTAACTCACGCACAAATTCGCTAATTGAGATTCGCATCTAGATCCCCGCGACCTGTTTGATTTACGGTCATCGAAAAGAGAGAGAAAGAGAGACAGAGCAGAAGATACAATGATAAACGAGAATTTCGACTCACTGTCAATGCATAAATTGTGTCGTGTTTTACAACACGGCCAGATTAACATTGATAATATTAAGGTTGTTACGATGCGGCAATTTTATCAGTTAAACATTGGGACAAAAGAAAAAATAAAAACACCGATAATTGAATATAGCGTGGATAGAAGGGTAGAAAGGAACAATTTTGCTTGTCCCTCCCCGATCGTTACATTATCATATAAATTGTGCGTTAATTGATAATTGGAAATAGAAGAGACCGTGGAGGGCATCTGCCGACTCGCTGGCTAATGACGAACTAAAGATACAAATATTCAGAGGGCACCACTTTCAAACAGATGGCGCAACTAATAATTGATTATCGATTTGTATCTTCGATATACTGTTATACGTATTTATACCAGTTTCATGGTTTAAAGGGAGAAGAAAATACAACATTCATGGATGAAAAGGAAAAGAATAACTCGGTTGTAAATATTTCAGAAAATGTAAGAATCGTGTATGAAAAAAGATGTCATCCGGGTTTTATTAATCAAATACCAACGATTGTCAACGACACAATGACTGTGTACGACTGATACAAGCAATTTTCTCAATCTTCACGAAATATCTCGAGCTGGTAATTACGTCAATTACGGAACGACCTTAGGTTAATAAATACTAATGCTGTCCCATCCGGTATGAATGTTTCTGTACTGCACGTCGCTTGCCAACAGTGGCGAGACGGCTAAGCTTCGTAACGAGCGATAATTTCCCTCAAGGTGATGATACGAAAAATTTACACTTTCTATAAGAATCCGAAGGTGACGAGGTATCGGTCCCGAGTAGCGATAACTAAACTTCCGAGTTTCAAGATTTTCATTCGAAATTCTTTTACTAGAGGATGCATTGAATTGTGAACAAATGAATTCTTCGTTAAAACAAGTAAGCGATATTTTTATTTTTTACGTGGTTCCTAATGTCTAAAATATTCATGTTTCAAGAAGGATAAATTAAATATCTTTCGAATAACTTTCAGAACACAATATAATGCATTATACTACGATTTACGATCAAAACAAAATGATCCATTGCCTAAATAATTTTGCTTTCAGCAAACTGAAACGCAATGCCACAACTTTAACTAAATTTTCTACTGGAACAGTGGAAACAACGACCCGGCTAATTTCACTTGCTACATGTTTTCAAGCCCATTGTGGCTCTGCTAAAATATTCCTGCGGCCCTCAGAACACTGCCATTATCCGAATTGAAAACATCACGTTCGCGAATAGGCCAATAGGCAACCTGAAGAGCCGTAGTTTCACTTTCTGGCTGACTTCCAACGTCCCGGAGACCTGAATCCGTATTTCGTGTGTTGATCGATATTTTTTTTCCCATGTGGAACCGTCCATTATATCTTGATCGCGAATATATTCGTTCACATAACGTGGCTTTCTATTCAACTGTTTGCCACTGCCGTTTATCGACGCATGCGTGATTAGAATATCAAGCAATGCTATTTACTAAAAGATTTTTTCTCGTTTCTTTTGCAAGGGATATTTATAATTTAAAATTAACGATGAAAACTCTTGGAAAAGAGAAATTAATTTCCCGCTAAAAAAAAGTAAAAGTAAAAAATCGTGTTTAATAAATTTGTGCTTTGGTATATTTTTCTGAATTTTAATTCATTTAAAATGTAGACCATTACTTGATATGTCAGAAATTGTACATTATTGAGAAATATTGTTACACCATACAATGAAGGTATTAAAAATTCGACGTATTTCGTTTTTATCTCTATGATTAAATCTTTTAATGTAACTTTCTCATCTGGTTTCTAAAGTGTCATTAAAATTCTTAATTTTTCCATGGCACTAAGTATGTCGACTTTTAATCATGTACCTCTTAAAATTGTATATTAATTATGTTTAACATCCCAAACTTTCGCCATTATACGAAAACTTGTTAAAAACGATAATCTTTATTTTGACCCTATTCCTCGTTATCATTCTTAGTTATCAATAGTGGTAATGAGAAAGCAAAGTTGTCCACGAGAGGTGTTCGGGTACAAGCGCACTCGACCTAGAAGTGTTGCTAATAAACAGTGCGTGGTGACAAAAACGCAGAGATCAATTAGGGTTAACAGCTCGTAATTTTGTGGCATTCCTGCTTCCTATTCACTACAGGACAAAAAACTAGAAGAACAAAAAAGCAATTATAACGCAAATGTCGTTAAGGCGCAAGAATATGACAAGCTAGGTTTAAAGCCATAGAAATTCGTTTGAATGCAAAGTATGAGAGAAACACGTTGTATATTTAATTATATAATAGGATTGACCGATATATGAGACCGTGTATCATTGATTGAAGATTAAACAGATTGAGAGAATCTTATCCGGGACAAGGAGGTTAGAATCAAAGAAACCCTTACAACGACCGCCATATCGATCGATCGTAGCGCCCTCATTGTCCTTCCGCCATTTTCCTCATTTTTTCGCGAGCACGGAGGAACAATACATCCTCGTTTGACGATCGAACGAAGTTAATTATCGTACAGACTTTGATTCATGTGCCTTTCAAATATCGATGTTTAATTTCTCAGACTCACATTGTTCCATTCCATTGAGATTGCGAACACGTAGAACGGAATGTCGCGCACCGGCTACATCGTTCTTCGGGGGATTAAGTTAACAACTCGACAACGAACAAAGGAGAAACGTAATTGCTGTCGCGATCGAGATACTGGACCAACTTGGTTGCCGTGTAACTAACTTCTGCCCGTCGGGGAACTAGCATAGAAAAATTTTATTCTCCAAAGAAGTTTGCATTCCCTGTGTGATTTATAGTTATTGCGAATACGATTATGAGTTTCAAAATATATGATTATATATCTAATAAAGTATCGAAAATTTTCTATAAACATTAAAATTATTATTTCGTTTGAATTAAACTGAAGTATAGAAATTATAATCTAATATCCGTGATGACCAAAATCCTATGTTCAACATCAATGAGATACAGTCGGTGTATAACTTATAACTGGTCTAGAAGAGCGCTGACAGGGTCTTTCAGCTATCACATGCAAATCCGATAGACTTCTATCGTAACGTCTGCCCTGATATTAAATTTCATACGTCCTGATTGTGACCTGAATTCTGCGGAAACTCTCAACCGACAGGAAGCTCCAAGAACTCAATACTCGCCACTAAAGACAAGGGTGGTCTTAAGTTTTTCTGCATCTCACATGTCAACCCTTTGCCTTTAATATCAAGACTCAGTCACGCATTCATGCCGTAAATTATTACAGTCTAATCCTACATGTATAGCCAAACAAAAAATAATTTTATTTTCAATTTAGAAATTAACATTTATTGTAAAAAAAATGTATATAAAGTGTCTGAAAATTGTAGATGACGTTGATATACCTTGATTTATCGTATTCGTAAAAAATCATCTATAATTTTATGTCACTTTAGATAACAGTTTAATGTTCTTTATACTAACTTTACACACGCGATATTTGCATACTCGATATTCGCGTTAAAATAACAAGCATGATTATTTGTATTTATATATAAATATTTTATATTTGATTTTAACATCGTTCCAACCCGAATTATTAAATTAAAATACGTAAAAACATGATGAATATTTGTTCACTCAGTGCCATACAAATTTATAGGATGTAAAAGGTATAAATACTGTTATCAAAGGGCAATAAAAATTGTGTTTTGTACACAATCATATGTAAATATTAAACAACAAAATATTTCCAAAAATAGCGAATATTTGCTAGCACATATATCACGACCTTGTTAATTATGACGTAGTTAATTCTTTCACCGTTATTAACGCTGCTCACTTCTTTTTCTTTTACACTTCATATTTTAGAATGTACAAAAAATTAAAAAATAATCTGACTGCTTTTATCCTAATTATAAGTGGCCTTGCAATAAATAAAATGCTTCTTACACGAACCTGCTTCAGCTAAACGAATAAAGCAACTTAGTCCGAACAGATACAGTCATTAATAAAATGATAGAAAAAAGAGTGTCAAGCAAAACGTAAGCTTTCACGTCATATGAACTCCGTATAATTTATTGAAAGGTCCACGAAAGGACAACGTTTCGATTGCAAATAGATTCACGTAGCTAGTGACTTAATTCGCGATACCCGCTTGCATTATCAAGCCACGAGTGAAATGTGCGTACATAAATATTCATCAACTGCCTAACGTCTGACGGATCAAAGAAAGGTGAATATGCATGTTTCTTTGGCAAAGTGTGTAAATAGTACGTGCTATTAGATCTCTATATATTAGTCGATTACTTTCTATCGTTACCTACCTATGTAAATGTGCATCACTCGACTTGTGCATATATCCAAACGCATATATACGTTACTGAATAATCTTCTGATAAGCATTTCGAACAGGAAGCTATTACATCTAACAATGTATCTTTTTCCTAGAACTGACACCTTGCGAATCACTACGAAGGCGAAAAGGAACTGTGCAAGCAGCAGTTATGTTCATCATCGTGTAACCCTGACAGCCGGATATTAAGAAAAAAAGGAGCAGGTGTTGGGTGAGTGAGGATGTTCACACGTTGAATATCCTTCTTCTTGATCGTGTGTTTTATGCTGAAATGTATGGTAAAGAAGAAAATATTATAATATTATTACATAGTAATGGCTTTAGTTACTTTTAGCGTTAAATATAAATTCAATGACATCAATATACGTAATATTATGGCAACTATTTTTATCTATGAAAAACAGAAAATATATAAAGCTGTAATAAAAGAATGTTAAATATATTTACCTTATTGGATGGAACAGGAAACGAAATTTGTTTAATAGTTCTATGCTCTTGTATCATTAGAGAGTGCAATCTTAATCTTAGAGTAGTAACGTATGTCAAATTGACTTCAAACACTGTACTTCGTTCAACGAGAATTGGCAGGAAATACAAACAAAACGGTCACGTGATCGATGCTGCGGACGCAGATAAGTGGTTGCTAAACGTCGATGTTCAGGGCCGATTTTTAGAAGTCCTAAACAGGGGCTCTTGCATATAGGGTCAGTTAAAATGATATGAAAATAATGGTCATAACTTAAAGGTTAAATAGAATACAAAATCGGTGTCATGCAAATAACCCGCCTATGTATGACATTTTAGTCCTATCTTTTTCAAAATATGAACACTTACATTACAATCAGCATGGTTTCTGAAACATTTTCACTGCTTCCCGAAAGTAGATTCTCATGTTTTCTCTCGTGTAAACATCATTTTTTGTAAAACGATTTAAAGAGAAAAAGGAGCCACGGAGACGCACATTACACCCATTTAGGTTTACCTTCAGATGGAAGAAATCGAATAATGTACACAATTAATATTTTTTGTCGTATCTAAATATAATATAATTATACAGAACTACAGATAGATTAAAGTTAAATTAAAAATAAATTCTGATATTACCTGATATTACCTAATTATATTAATATTCTATAAAACAATTCCAGATATACGATATGACGTAACGGTAGGTTTTTGAGTCGAAATGATTTTATTATGTAACTCGCCGATGTGACTGACCCGAGCAATTTTCATCCGTCGATAAACCTAACCACGAATCGAAGCCAATGAGATCGCGCAACGTGCCGCGGTGTGGCGTTCGGGACGTTTCATTACAAGTCGATGTTACGACACGAGGTGTGCTCGATCGTTTGCGCGAATCTAGGCACGCGACCTAGACCCGACCTTTCCCAAGTTCCTGTCGAAAACGAGGCTAATACAGCTACTGACACGTTGCTTCAGTAATCGAACCAAGGAATAAACGACGTTCCACATAGACTCGCGATCACGGAGCCACTCGAATTACGAGGGCGTAAGTATCGACCGAGTTTTAAGTGGCGCTCGTGATCGTTGTTTTCATTGGCCCTCTGTCGTTGGAAAACACAGACTTATTGTATACGTCACGCTTCTTATGTCCTTCATATTTTCATTACTTCTGTTTACTTTCTAAACACAAGTTCAACGTGGATAAAGAACGACCGGTTTTAAATCTGATAGTTTGATTAATCTTCGATTTAGATACATAATTGAAGCAATGGTAAGTGTCTGTGATAAATCTGTGGTGGAGAAAGTAAATGGAAAGTCATTTGCTAATAAAGAAAGAATTAGTGTACTAATGCGGTGTAATTAAATCTGAAAGTATCTTTTGCGGTTTCGAGGATACAGTCCAATACTTGTTACTGTATGTAACTTGTTGTGGAAGAATGGAAACTATACGATCGAATGAAGTTTATTATATTTCGATTGTCCGGTGATACTTTATATTTTGTTAACATGTCATTTGGTAAATATAAATGCAATTAATTTAAAGGTATTTTTTTCTATGATAAAATTTGTTATTAGCTTTACTTAAAACTATATTATTATTGAAACTATTCAGGCTGATTTTTTCAGAATTTTAGAATTTCTTGCATCCGATTCATGCCTGTGAAATGAAGTAACCAGAAGAAAAAGAATTTTTTAAACGACGAAGTACAGGATTACTGTTCAGTTTATTGCATATTAACCTCTGAAAATCAATTTCATTCCAACATTATTTTTTGCTGAATCTCATGATAATGTTAAAGGATAAAATAAATGTAAGTACGTAAGTTTCTTATCCACAATATTTTAAATAAATTATATGGTCAAAGATATATTTGCGAAAAGTGAGCAAATGCCCAGACACATTTCAGCTGTAGTGTATACGTTATTCGACTATAATTCCACAGGCACTCTCCGCTCCGAGCAACGAAGTGTGCTTGAGCTCGGACTCGAACACGACGTAAAACGTGCAAGTTGACTACGGTGCCACCAAATGAGTTTTCCAGAACAGATGCAGACACAGGCTGATGCCTTGCACGATACAAGCTAGTAACTCGACGCGGTACAATTACGCTTGTGTAAATTGTACGCTTCACCTCCGTCCACGAAACGTCGAAGTCCAATGTTTGAGCAAACTTCGATTCTCTCCAGATGGGTGGAGAGTGAAATTCAACGGATGTATCGCTACGGTAATATTTTACGACGCGACTTGTCGCTGTCTCGCTTCGATTATCGAGTGATAAGCATCGATATTGAAATTGCAAATGCGTCAAATAGGGTCAAACTCAGTATACGAACCCGACGAGAAGGAAGGTAAAAAGGAAAGGAAAGAAAAATTCAATTAGAACGATCGTAAAAGTTCCATCGACCATCGAAGACGATCGAAGTTATTATTGTATTAATTAAGGAGCGAAGAAGTAGTTAAGGGGAGAAGAAATTCGTGTCGAAAAGTTCCCTCTCGTCTTATACGCAGGATTCAATCGATTTCACGCTGAACTTTCCAAGAATATTTCCACGCTTCTGCTGGAGAACTTCCGGTAACAAGGCGTTCCGTATCGCGACTGCGTTCGATCAACCGAAGAGTACACTCTGCTTCTTTCGCGACTTTCGAATAATAAAACGACTCGAACTCTTTCGATATGGTAATATAAACATTAAGGATTTAATACATACGACATGGGCAAAATAGAGCATATATAGTTGTTTGATTTGTCTTGATTAATTATAATGGGATGTAAGTTAATTCTGAATGTAGTTTTGTTTAAAGAAACAAATAGTAATATTCATATCACTGAAAAAGTGTAGGTGTTCAAATTTTAATTTACGAAAGTCATACATATTTAAATATCGTCCAATTTTTCTCTAAACGATTTTTGTTCTATCACGATATATAAAATGTCTTTGTTTCAGGTTCGAACAATGGAAAAAGTGTTGGAAGGACGAAAAAGTTCAAGGAGATCTTGGCCCACGTAGTAGGAAGTAATTGTCTGTATACATTGCGAATGAATTCCTGTAGAAGTTCTGGGCTAGGTTCCAAAAATTAACAGAAATTAAGTCAATATTCGTTTAAATAGCGAGTACACCTAAGATTTATTTCATATTTTTTGAAAACCTACAAAATGACTAAGGTAAATAAAGGATATACAAGTAGTAAAGCAGAAAATTTCACGTTTTCAAACAATATTTATCTTTTTATTGTAATTTGCAGAACGAATTTAAGCTTCTTCTCTGCAAATTATGGAATATTTTCTATTACAAATTTTAGCGCCTATTAATGAATTACGAATGATCCTATAAGTAATTCTCACTAAGTGAAAAATTAAGACAAATAGTAAGTAATACAATATAAAAGGAAACTAATCATTCATTAAAGGATTTTATATTATGTTTCACATTTTAGTAGTACTGCTGCATCATTATAACCTTATGAAAATAATAATTCTTTATTTTGTTTAAATAGGATACATGAAAAAACAGATCAAAGTATTCAAAATTCAGCACGAGTGCTATTTTCCTCTACTTAATAAACTACATTAACATATTTTGCGTCCCGCTGTTTTAGACAGAAATAAAAAATACTCTTGGTAAGCCAAGGTATGCTTTTCTATATTGTTTAAATAGCATAAGCTGCAAGAAGATATTAAAGAGTCAGAAAATTCAGTACAAGAGCTACTTTTCTCTAATTAAAACACACGGTAACAAACATGCGCTGCGTCCCGTAGGCCACGTGCGACTCCACTATAATCAGCAGAAGTAAAATTTTTATTTGGCAAATAAGAATACTCTGCCATATCGCCCAAACAGGAGAGCTGCGATAGAAGATCAAAGTGTCAGGAATTCGGTACAAATACTACTTTTCTCTGATTAAATATTCTCGTCTAATTTTTTTTCACTCGAATTTAAAGTTCTATCCAAACATTTACCTTTTTTTGGTCTCTGGACGTGTTAAATAACTAACTAACTAACTAACTCTCTTTTTCTCTCTGTCTGTTTCCAGCGCTATTCTGAAGTGAGTATTTACTCGTACTCTTGGACCTTGCACGACTGAACAACCGTAGAAACATTTATAAAGGCGACACCCGTAATTTCGTTGGCGGCCGAACGTATCGCGTCGTAACGAGCTTTCAGCGCCGCGTGCCGAGCGCTCGGGCCAATATTTCACAAGATAATAAGGAACAAACAGCGTTTCCTTGTTCCGGGAGACGCGAGCGCGTTATTATACGATGGCTGGGGACGGAGTCTGCGATGGCGGAAATTCGTTCAACCAAAGGCCACACGGTCTCGCCCAATAAAGCGTAAATGGATTAGCCTCTAAGCCGCTGATACGACTACGGAAATCCAAAGTGGCACGGGGAGAAGATTCCGTACAATCTCGGCGAATCCACTGTCAACGGACACTCTTGGAAGCCATTACATACGTCTTCCTTAGTCGACTGACTGGAAACGAATTTCTCGCGTTTACGATCTCCTCTTCCGCGATTTCCCTTTACTCCACGCATTTTTCTTTCGTGCTTTGCCAGCTCCATTCTGTTTTTCTTTCAATTTTTCTTCCTCTTCGTTACTTTCGAGCATGGTAAATGTATTAAGTCGATGGGAAAGTTCTGTTTCTTTGTGAAGGAAAATAAATCGATTCCTCCCGCTGAGATATTCTTTGTTAATATTCAGTGTAATATCCACTGTTATTTATAACTGTCTTCTGGATTAGATTTTTCGTCCTTTTTATGCATTCACAAGCTACTTCTAATTAAATATTTTTCAGTGAAACAATTTTATAGAGACAAGTGGTAATTGGACGATGGAAGATTAGGATCATATAAAGATGACTTGTCTGACTCCGATATTCCAATTGTTATATAAAATTTATATAACATATGAATGAACTAGACCGAGTCATATTTTATGGAGTAAAAAATTTCATTCTTTATCGAATTAATAAAGGAATATCGTTTTTCTTCTTTCGGCTTTCCTGCCGCTTTATTTTTATCAAAGAAAAATTTTACGTGGAAACAATTTCCTTTATTTTTAGGATAAGGTTATTTCTGGTTATACGTTCACGTTTTAGGAGGCAGTTTTATAGCTCGTAACGGGGACAGTGTATTACACGTTCGTGGATTGTTCAGGTTTTTCTTTTGAAGTTATAAAGAATTAAAGAAGTCGGACGAAGGTTTTCGTTTAGGTATAAATATAAACGACTATTCTGTTACCTGATCGCAGTAGTTGGAAATAATGGATTTAGAAATAATCAATTACCACGAATTGAAATTTTTATCTTGCCAACATAAGCCGTCATTTAATGAAAAAAATACGTAAATGTCAAGCTATCGTGGTCAATGAAGTCCACACAAATGTACTTCGAATTAATGGAATAATCGTATTACTCTCGCCAATAATCTTGAATCATATTTCCCGCCTCTTTCCC